TTATTACCCCATAAACTATTATAATTCTGTAAACAACTGGATAAGAATATCCAACAAAACAGTTTGTCTTCTTACCAAAATGTAACAAGTCAGGTTATACATGTCTTGTTCATAAATTCAGAAAAGACCAGCATTTCTCCTATTAATACACAATATGAAAGAGTATCAGTGTGACCAAAGCAGTGTATATTACGGTCATTCCCTTTTTGTACTTTCCTAACTTTTCCAATACAGTCATCCTCTGAGATGAAGTAATCTATTCTTGGTCTCTGGTCAAAGATAATTTGGGGATTTGTTTCTTTTTAAGTTGGAGCAAAATCCCTACTGACACATTCTTTATAGTAGGAATGAGGGGAGAAACAGAATATCTTCTCAAGTCTCTGCTTATCTGAGGAAGAGAGTTTTGCCCACAAAGGCTCATGATACTATATTGTATGTTTAGTCTTAAAATATAGTCTTTAAGGCAGGGGTGGGGAACCTTTTGTTGGGTCAGCGACCGCCCACCCACAGAAAAATCAGTCAGGGGTGCACACAAGTGAGAAGCAAAAAATAAAAAACAAAACCTCACTCATATGGCTCCTGACCGAGGAAGACACTCCCCCTATTCCCCTCTCACACCAGAGCCTAGGGGGAGTCCAATCTAATAGATTTTGTGTGCTTCAGCCTTGCGGTGAGGTAGTGGGAGGGAGGGGGAGAGGAGGAAGCTGGAGCACCCGTATGGGCCCCCCAATGCTAAGAGTAGAGCATGAGTCTCGGGGCCAGATCCAGCAAGCCAGGGGCTATAAATTGAATACGATTAATGAACGTGAAATAGCATTAGAATGCTCTTTGTGGGAAAACCACAGCTCAAGCAATGTAATGCTTTTCATGTTGTCCCCAGTGCACATGCTGATACTCAGGCTTTTCACCCAAGTCTCAGTCTGAGAATTCTCCAAAAGCCTTGACAAATGACTCCAGAATCTCAAGACATTTGGTAAAGTCCCAGCCATTGGTGTCACAGATGCCAGTTGTAAACAGGACAAAGAATTTTGAGCATGCTGCAAAGAATATAGGACTTTCTATACAGTTTTTGCTTGGAAATGGCAGAAATGGGAAGGGAAAACTCAGGCTTTTAAGTTTTCCATTGATAGCAAGTATGGCCCTCATTTCATATCCAGATCAGCTTGGCAGTAACTGAAAGGTATTGTCCTCCTTTGGCTAATCAGTGGTCCAATACAAACTGCGCTTGATGGTTTCCGTTTAGGTTCAAATGGACAAGGGTCTACATCCACACGACTCGTAGAAAAAATTTTAAATAATCAAGCAAGCAACATGCATAATGAAAATGGCAATTCACTGTGTTTTTATTAAGCAGTAAATTTCCAAACTACTAATTGACCACGTTCACTTTCTCCTAAAAATGAAAATATAACACACAAACTGAACTTTTCTGAGCCATATGTATTGAAAGCATCTCTACACAGGGCATAACAACGACATATTAATAATCTTTGTGTAATCCTGCATTCAAACCTTTGTTTGAATTTAAAACCCCACAATCCACCATTGGAGGTTTTGTACCATTAGTGTGTAGTATTTTGTACTGCCCACTGCTGCATTTCAATGGTGTATTTTTACACAGGCTGAACTATACAACAACTGAAACATTTAATTTGCAGTTCATGTTCACAACAGATACAGCAAAGCTACCATTCAGCTTCCTTTTGTACAATGGATATCGTATTTAGTGAGATTTCTCCAACAAAGAATTCCACAGCAAGAGCCTGAATTATTGCAGATCAGAGTACCCTATGAGCCATGGTTATAATTAGCATTATATCCATTGTAATCCTATGGACGTCATCATGTGGTACCAGCATCTGTTGACAGATCTCATACCATGCATATCAGTGAAATGGCAAGTCTGGAGAGGGCAGCCCACAATAGAAACAATGGCATTTATTTTTGTCCTCTTCCAAGATTGTCTCATAGAACATATATGCTGCCAACTGCAAGGGTTGCGCTGATATCACTATTGTTATATTTGAATAAAGCTCTGTGCCCGTGGATATAGACCCTTCTCCTGGTAAATGTGGGAATGGGAAATTTAATTTCCGTAACTTATTTTAACACCATGAAAAAAAAACGATTCTGGCACCCTTAGATAGTATCAGATCCATCAGGCCACCTATTGATATTACAGTATTAATTCAGGAGGAAAATATACTCTCCAAGACAAGGAATAAGAATGCCATCTCTTAGCTGAATTTAAATGTATACATCACTTGGAAATTTGTATTAAATGCACATGGCAGACCAAGCCACAAAGCCATGATATAGCTAGTCTTATTAACGTGCTCTGAATTGCTAATTTTCTGCTAATTGTTAAACTGGAGGAAAAATCAAATTGGTATAGAACAAGGAATAGAAATGTGAAGTCCATTGATGACTCACGTATCTTTTCCCTTCCTACGCTGCTCCACAGTGACAAATATTAAAAACGTGCAAAAGAACAGATGCTAACAAAAATAAAACCAAATTCTCTGAATATGTGGTTTTCACCCTAGAAAAATTCTTCTGGAGCATCCAAGACTTATTCAACGGCTACACTATTTAAAAAAGCCCTCCGTGCTTTGTCTTCTTTTACCACAGCATTCTGTGCATCTGCCACTCTGCCAAGAATAGAGATGGGATCTGTTTTATCCTGGCGGCTGCAGTCTGTGAATTCACTATTTTCAAGGAAAGTAAATCTAGTTCTGGGATTCTCAAACTTCACTGCACCATGATGCCCCTTATGACACTAAAGTTATCACATGACCCCGAGAGGGATGAGGGTCAGAGCCTGAGCCCTGTTGCCCCGTGTGTGAGGAAAAGAGGCCACTGGCCAAGTCTTGCAACCTCGGGTTGGAGGAGAAGGAGCTGCAACCCAAATCTTCATTGCCCTGGAGGGGAGTTGGAGATCTGGCTTCAACCCTAGGTCCCAGCAAGTCTAATGCCGATCTTGGTGATCCCATTAAAATGGAGTCCCAACCCACAGTGCGAGAACTAACCCACTCTGGGGTCCCAACCCACAGTGTGAGAACTGCTGACCTAGCTGATGCTACTTAGAAGTACAAAACTGTTGTGCAAAACTCGTGTTATGTAATTTCATTTTTTGCTGCATAGAAAACTGAATTAGGCCCTTAGAGGAACTATACCAAGGTGGGCAGTAAGCAGACTGCAAGATGATCGCACTGAACTATACCAAGGTGGGCAGTAAGCAGCCTGCAAGATGATCGCACTTCACCGGGGTTAGCCCCTGGTGGGCCACTAGATGTTTTATTTACCTAAGCATCCACAGGTACAGCTGCTTGCAGCTCCCATTGGCTCCAGTTCACTGTTCCCGGCCAAGGGGAGCTGTGGGAACCAGCGCAGGCCGGGCCACCCCTTTTCCTCAGCTCCCATTGACTGGGAATGGCAATCCGCAGCCAACAGGAGCTGTGAATGTACGTACCTGCAGATATTCAGGTGAATAAAGTGTCTGGTGACCCATGAGGAGCTAACCCTGGCAAATCTCATCGGTCCTGTGAGCTGCCTATTGCCTACACCTGAATTACACATACAGTACCATACTTTACAAAATGAACAATTTCAATTTTCTAATACTGAAAAGCCTACTTTGCTTCAATAGGCACACAGTGCATCAAAATCACTTGCTCTCCAGGTAAAAGAATGTCTAACTGAAATAAATCTCAGTGATGACTGGTGTAGTTTTATGACTGTTCAGAAGATACAACTAAGTGCTCTTACACCCAGAGAGAGGTTATATAGAGAGGGTAAGTGTTCTACAAGTTGAATTCTGCCTTCAGACACATATATGCAATACCCTTGAAAATTTCAATGGAATTGAATTCTGCCTTCAGACACATATATGCAATTTCCATTGAAATTTTCAAGGGTAACTCTTCACACATAGCAAAGGAAAGAATTTGGCCTAATTGCCTGATGGATACTGCATATTTCACTTCTGCAATTAGCAGATGACCTCATAACTCAAGATCTTACTGCTCTGAATTGCAGCAATATCCATTAATTTAGGAAATAATAGAAATATTTCATGTGATCATCCCTTTCTCATGGGCTGCTTATGCCACTGCTTGCTTTTACATGTTTCAATGAAGCCACATTAGTGAAGATCTAGTGCAGTACCAAAATTATTAACCAAGTTGCTAGTAAGATTATGAATGCAGCCTGTACTCAGAAACAGAGCAGTAGCAGCCTCATAACTGTTTTTCAAAATTCAGAAGCTAGATGCATTTCCTCCACAGCGGGATGCTCAAGTAGTCTACAGTTATCTCTAAAAGTTGGCAGAATGACAGCTGGGTACCTTTTAGTCTTGGATTCAGTAAATAAAGAGATCTTTTAAACCTCAGCTTGAACATTTCACAAGACCATATTTTCTTAACTAGTTTGTTCCACTGGATCTAAGTTCCAATAGCAGTCAACTCAGAGGACCAAAATTTTAAAAGTGGTCTCAGTTTGTTCCTGGAAATATTTGGTTGCACATGCATTGCTTCTCATTTATACTTCCAATTACCTTCTTTTCACAGGCCATCATGTGCACACACATTTTCAGAGGCCACTTTTGGAAAATATGACCTAAAAAGTGATTTTAGGAATGGCTAAAATCTCTGCCAAGAGTCAACATGAGCATGAAAAATATTGAACCAATATTGTGTCAACAGAGTTATCAAAAAACTTCCGGGATGTTCTTTTTATTCATATACAGCCTCCATTTATACATCAGAATCCTAAAAGTGAAAGCGAAGAAGTACTTTATAAGCTATACATAACATCATAGCTAAAAATGTTTCTATAGTGAGATTAAAACTGATAATAGATTCCTTTGCAAAAATTATAGTGGTTGAATTCACTAGTACACATGCATTTATAACAACAAGATAAAGTGTTATATTAGGGGGGTGATTATTATTCTACACAGACACACATCCACAGACAGACAGTTTATTTTCTTTCCTGACCTTCCTTTGCTGTTTCTCCCATGCCGGGTCCAGGAGCAAGTCCCTATCCCATTCGTCCTCTTGGATCATATACTCATCATCTTCATAATCATAGCTGTACTGCATACTTGTTTCTATCTGGTTCATATTGATCAAGGACCAGAATCAACTTTACACTTGCTGTGGCTTTTATTACTACTTAAAAAAACCCTTTTTTCTTTTATTCAGACAGTGGTATTTTTCTTTGTTTCCTTCTTTTTTTTCTTTTTTCAAGGTAAGAGAGTGTTAATATTGATGAGTCTTGCTGGCAGGACAGGTTGAAGCTGTCAGGATACAAGTCTGAACTTAACGGTGATGAGCTTCGCTCCCCTCCCTCTCTTCTGCTGCTGCAGGTCCCTGTGGCTGAGTCTCCAGAGAAGCCCCGGCTCCAGCTCACGGCTGTTGCTTATTATCCCCACTGTGTCACATGGCTCAGCAGCCAGAAACATCCCCCACCTTTCTCAGTCTCTCATTTGCAAGTAAAGCAAGGCAGATCGTCAGCCTGATCAGCAGAAACTGAATGATCTGCTGGTATATAAAAGACTATGCAATTTTGCATTTGCTATTAACTGTTATTAAGCCATTACAAAAATACATGTAGGTATGCGCTATGCACAGGAACAATTATTTATCTACAGGAGGGAAGTCTAATCAAGAAAATTCACCTCTTTATGCATTCTCTCTTTAGTAGCTCTGAATACTTTTTGTGGTGTGCATTGCTGTCTTTTTATTTTAACAGCATGAAGAAAGTGTTGAAGTTAAATTTCCACATTCAGTGCATGTATCTCTAGTTTGGAGAAGGAGGGCTACAATATATAAACAGTTTATAAACTAAAAAACAGAATCAAAATGGCTATATACACATTCTGACATATAACACACCACTTACAGTTGGTCCAAAGTTTCAAGGCCCTTGACTCACTTCTCACTTTTCCCGTTTTGAAAAGGTTCTCATGAGCCATTACAGAAAAGCATTTATCAAGAGAAAACAAATTACTAAATAGATCAAGACTTGAATATAAACCAGAGAAATTAAACGTCAGATCTAGCAAAGCACTGAGTACTCTAAACTCTCACTGAAATCAAGGGGAGGCAAATGTAGTACTGTGTGGGATCTGGCCCCCTCATTAGAATGAGACCATTATAAATTAAGGACATTAAAGACTAGTTGATTAGTCGACAATCCAATAAGCAAATGCTTATCTGACAGTCGAGTCGAATAGTCGATTCCCCCTCCCCCTTGCTGCCTCTATCAGATAGAAGCAGCAAAGGGGGGGGGAAGGGGCACTTCACAGCGGCAGTGCCACATGGAGCCCTTACCGAGCTCTATGCAGCGCTTCCCCTTTGAAATACCACCACCGCATGGAGCCCGGAGTCAGAGGGGACTCCCCAGCTGATCCCAGATTCCAGCACAGCATTTCAAACCATGCAGAGCCCGGGGTCAGCTGGGAAGTCCCCAGCTAATCCCAGGTTCTGAGCAAATGCTACATGGAACCTGGGGTCAGCTGCGGAGTCCCCCTCTGGGAGTCCCCAGCTGACCCCAGGCTCCATGTGGCATTTCAAAGCAGCAGTGCAGCGTGGAGCCCTGGGTCAGCGGGGGACTCTGAGTTCGCTGCTGACCCCAGGCTCCATGTGGGCGCTTTCACTTTGAAATGCACAAGAGCCCCTGCTGGGGACTCTTGTACATTTCAATGCTGGCATGCCATGTGCAGCCCGGAGTCAGGGGGACTTCCTGCTGGCCTTGGGCTGCAGGTGGAGTTCCACATTCCTCCTTTGAAATGTACAAGAGCCCCAGCCCACATTTCAAAGGAGGAATGCGGAAGTGCCTATCGACTAGTTGAGTAGTCAATGGAAATTCCATCAACTACTCAACTATAATAAGGATGTTAAGTATTGAGTAATTTACTAAATTAAGGTGACTACTAAAACAATAATTTAGAAAAAGTCTGTTGGAAAATTCAGCGGGGAAGCTTTTTGTCCTCTGTATGGCACATTGTGAACAATGAAAATGCAGGACTGTACTCAAGATACACACAGGCACATCCCATGCTTCCTATGTCATATAATTTTAATATTCCTGAAATGGAACACTTCTCTTGGAAACTGGCAGGCAAGTTTACTTTGTTCTTTATCTAGTCTATGTGTATTGGACACAAATCTGTCTTCATCTACAAAGACAGAATGCTCCCCAAAGGTGACCCTAAATAAATTAGGTCAGATTTAGGGCTACTGTATGAAGTGGCAAGTGTTCCTTGAGATGCTGAGAGAGAACTGTGAGAGTTAATGTAATATTAGGAAGTCTGAAGCAGACTATAGGCAGTCATCCGAAAGGAACACAGTTTAGAAATATGCACCTTTTTAATATGTTGACATATTCTGTGATAATTATATAAAGTTGGGGGAATCACATGAGCACAAAGCTGGTATTAGCGAGGGAAGAGTCAGGCTAAAAGCTGACATATTCTGTGATAATTATATAAAGTTGGGGGGAATCACATGAGCATAAAGCTGGTGTTAGCGAGGGAAGAGTCAGGCTAAAAGTGAAGCAAGTGGTGCTAGAGAGAAGGATGTGTGGAACAGGAAACAAGAACCCAGTAACAGGCAAGATCAATCAGAATGAACCTAGAAAGGGAGGATGAGGCGTTTGACTGTGATGTGGAAAGGGACTTGAAGCCAGTAAACAGATTTAAAGTGGAAGCAACACACTTTAGCCATAGTGTGAGCCCAGGGTGGGCAATAAAATGGTGGTGATTCACCAGGGTTAGCCCCCGTGGGCTGCCACTGCCATATTTACCTGCAATTTTGCATGTATGGGCAATCACAGCTCCCATTGGCCAGGAATGGTGATCCACAGCCAATGGGAGCTATGATCCCTCAAACCTGTGGAGGCGCGGGTAAATATGGTGGTTTGGGAGACCCCCAGGAGCTAATCTTGGCAGCCCATAGGCTGGTATTTGCCCACCCATGATGTGAGGAGAAGACGATTTTCAGAGTGGTATTTTGAAAATTGGATAAAATGAGGTTCACTTCTGGGAGATGAGAGATGGAGAATGTAGCAGGAAATTGTCATGGCCCAACTTCCTCTCCCCCAATCTTAAATCCCTCCCAGGAAGACACTGTAATGGTAGGATGTGATTGTCACCTCCCTTGTTCCAATGCAATATAGGAAACTAACGCGTTCCAAAATAAGTAAGTTAAGTGTAAAGCCTGGGCATTAACTCAGTCAGCATCTGCTCACAATGCTTCTTACCCATGGAGCATTTCTGAAATTCATGTTATCAAAGGGAAGACATTGGTAACACTGCTTGCTCTCCCTTACATTGAACCTTCTGTGGCGATCTGCATATTGTATTTACATCCACACATTTAAGTAATGATCTTTGTACAAAATATGTCTTGTGAGGAATCATTTGAAAACTCATAACTTGCTTGTTAGTGTTATCATAGTGAAACATATGTAGCAACACTGTATGTGAAGTTATAAGATTCCAATGTTCCATGTTATTAACACATGTTCCAAATCCCACAGCCCGGCCCAGGCAGAAGCTGGCAAACACACCTGTCTTTAGAAAAGGAATCCATGTTTTGCTTTAGTTTGCATTTAAGCAGTACACAGAGTCATCATGCAGAAAGGGCGGAAACCTGCATGCAAGCATACACAGGTGAAAAAACCCAGCAGGCAACATCCTTCCATATAGACTCTTTGTCTCCTGGCTCTCAGAAGGAAAAAATTTTCAAGATGGTGACCGAAACGATAAAAAGGAGTTGCAAACACCCCTAGATTCAAGGTTCAAGAAAGAACTAGATAAAGAATAGATGTAGGTTATATCCATCAATACTTATTAGCCAGAATGGAATGGTGCCCCTAGCCTCTGTCAGGAGCTGGAAATTGATCACAAGACAGGGATCACTTGATGATTACCTGTTTCTATTCACTCTCTCTGGGGCATATGACATTGGCCACTGTTAGAAGACAGGATACTGAGCTAGATGTACCTTTGGTCTGACCCTGTATGGCTGCTTTTATGTTCTTAAGATACATCTCCTATCACTTCCTGTCCATTTCACTCTTTGCACCTGCAAAAACAAAAGCAGCATTCTTTGACTCTTGGGGAGAGATCCTGATGGAAAAAAATTGGTAACACTCATGGAAACATGGTGAGAAACTGTGCTTTAAACCTAATATAGTTTGAAAAGTTAGATGCTAGACTGCTTTTTATCTTTATTTTTCTTATAACCATTTCTTACTCTTATCCCTTGTTACATATACTCATTTAAAATCTCTCTCTCTCTCTGTAGTTAATAAACTTGTTTTGTTGTTTTCTCTAATCCATTATGTTAAACTTACGGCATCTGGGAAACACTATTTAAGCTAATAAGATGTATATAAATTCTCTTAAAGAAATAATAGACTTAATATCTTTGGACTGGCCAGGAGAGGAATGGGCAGTATAATTTGTACATTTAGAGTAGGAGGGTGGGAAATCCTGGACTGGGAGGGCTTGTCTACACTACGTGTAAGAGCTACTGCAGTCAATCTTCAGGGTTCAAATTAGCGGGTCTAGTGAAGACCCCTAGTTCAAACTGAGAGGATGCCCCTGTCAGTGCCGGTAGTCTTGCTTCTCATGAGGAATAAGGGAAGTTCTTATTCCTCCTGCTATGTGGATGGCATGAACACACGATTTAAGATCAGTCGACTCCAGCTACATAATTAACGCAGCTGGAGTTGTGTATCTTACGTCAATTTTCCCCTGTAGTGTAGACCAGGCCAGAGTTTATTTGGGTCACCCCGCAGAAGTAAACCAGGTTGATAAAAGCCAGAGGATAACCTAAGCATAACTGGCAGGATGCAGTTACACACAGGCACTCAGGATGTGGCTTGCATGCTCAAAGGCTGTTTGTGAGCAGCCCAAGTGGGAGTTACTGCAGCAAGACATTGAAAGGCACCTAAAGTTGCAGAACAATGATGACACACCTCCTCCCTGGTCTGGATTGCATGCTAGTATGTTCCATCTCCTGACAGTCAAAGAACTGTTCTCATTGAGTTAGATGCAATGTTCACCTCCCTGTACCAGCTTTAAGCAAACTGGCTCATTGTATCATTTTAAATGAAATAGGCATCCTATTTCATGTAACTCATTTTTTTAAATCCTGCTCCGCCTTGCTGAGATTTTTTATTTCCCCCATCAATGTCTCACAGAAAACTTCCAGTGTTCACTAGGCCTTTCAATTTATTTTTTTCCATCCTCTCACCTTCAGAATACTCCCATATGCTATACCTTTGTTTCAACCATAAAACCAAAATCTTATAACCTTAGTCCTATAGATCATTCTTTCAAATTAATCAAAATATACTAAACAAAAAATTAAACATTTCTGCTAAATCAATCACCAATG